GATGCATGGACTCCATTTGTTAGGATTCACTTAGTTGCCTCTTCCGATTAAACAGGGTTAAACTGTGGAATCAATTCTGATGCCTCAACTAGTGAAGAAATGTTTTAAATATGTTATGTTACTTTTGGCTTCCGATAATGAAACAAATCTGAAGCAAAGAAATAAATTCCTACACGAAAGGAACATGCACATGAATAAACACAATGTGTGAAAACCATAGGCTTTTCACACATAACATGTTTATAAAATTAAATGTCCTTAGAGGAAAATAATTACACAGGACATTTTTGCTTGCAATAGCATAAAATAAACTTGCAGCGTCAATTTCAAAATGCTGTTTTTTCTTACTTATTACCATAGTTATGTAAATATAAACATATAAGTAAACGAAAAATGTTTATAAGCAAGGACAGATTAAGAATAAGTGTCAGTCCTATTCTTTATAATAATGATTTGCGATGTAAAGAACTGATTAAAATCTGTACATTGGGACATTTTAAGGCCTGTGCACATACGAAGGATGTTTCTTGTTAAATATCGCGGGAATAATCAAGATGTTGACGTCTCTAAGATGTAGGAAAACCTTTATTGAAGGCTGATATTTTAAAAGGAAAATCCATGTATTTCAATTAAGACACTTTTAACTTAAACTATAGGTAATAAGCTGGTCACAATGCTTCAACATTGTTACTGAGTAAAATTTATTTTTCTTGCAAAAGAATATTGACAACAAATGACATACATGACATACAATAAATGATTTTTTGATCATAGTATATATATCAAATTCGAATTTAATCGGTATCAGTTACATTTGGACTGCCAAACACATATACAGGGTTAGTACAAATGTAGTTATAAATGTATTTAATGGACGCAGAAAGTGAAAATTCAAAACACTTTTAAAACAACGTTAAGTCAATTAAAGCAGAAGAAATCTTGAATCCAACATGAATGTTTATAATCGTAGTATAAATTAAAACTAGAACTTTTTCAATCACTATAAATCATCAACAAAATGAGATAACATTTCGTAAATGATCGGCTAGATCATGAAAGAATATATATAAATTGTTGTGATGTCCTTGGTTAATCGTCTTTAATCGCTGTAGGCTCGATTCCAGCCGCGCGAACGTCCTCGGATTTTTCATTTGATTAGCTTCATCTAATTAGTTTACTTCAGTGGTTCTACTCAGGCACCCATTTGTGCCTGGAAAAATGTACACCCGAGGGGATCTTTACTAGTCAAGCTGAAAATTTGCCGCATAACCTATTCAATGTTGGTATGTTAGACACGACCAAAACACAACAAAGTTTTATTTGTCTGAATAAAACCATTAATACAAATATTTCAGATATTTAATATTTAACAAAATATCAACGGTGTTATAAACGTTATAAACGGTACTAAAAATATGTTGAAAACAAAACTGTATATTTACGAATAAGAAATAAATGTCATGCATAAACCAACGTAAATCTAAAACATTAAGATTAATAGATGGAAACAATGAAACAATGTAACACATTGAAAATCATGTTTTAATGTTATTTAATATTATTCAATTCCCAGAGTTATCGTAAAATTACAGAACACAGATGAAAGACAGACATTTAAACATCTGTGATGAATAACTCAATTTTACAGGAATTAGATTCGTTAGCTCATGTTGATAATATTGGTAACAAAGTAAAAGAAAATGCTCTGAACAGCTCCGAAAATGACACTACATAATGCATTTCTTAAATGCAAATTAGTGTTGAAACCATATCATTCGTGATTACAGTTGCTAAACTGGATGCTTCAAACTAAATAAGTGACGGTATAATGGCATAGCTCTTAAATCAAGGAAATCTTACTATATTAAGAGGCATTACAGTTCGTTCCTCAAATAAGCTTTGTTGAAGAAGATAGAAGCCATTCTGAAAATTATTCGAAATAACGGGATAAAATGTTTAATTGATGTTATAGAATAAGAACAGTACTAATACTGAGAAGCTGCAGATTTCGGTTTAAAGAGAATGAGTGTATTTCACGTTTCAAATCCTTGTTTTTTCTGAGAAAAACACATTCAAACAAAAAGAAAATCAAATGAAATATTTCGAAAAGGAAACGATAGGAACGCCTCCGCCAATAAAATGAGAAATTTACTGACTGTAGCTTTCAACGCTTAATCAAACCGAACCTGCAACATTTTCAATTTTTCCGTTTTCGTTTCTCTCTATTGTCTTAATCTTCAGGATATTTTCTCCGGAGTGACATGCGGTGTTGGTTAACAACTACATTTCGTGACAATTAAGGCAAACAGAGACCACTTAACATTCAAAGAGTTGACATGTGTAGCTGACCTTACACATATGGCCCAGAGAAGCTAGAGAGAAAAAAACCTTCAATTTATAGTAAACGATATTAATTGCAGTGTAGCGAACGTATTTATCCATATAAACACATTTAATGGCAGAATTGATTTGTCGTAATTATATTGACATGCTTACTAAAACAGATCATTTTCCGTATATATTTCTATAAACAGTAGGCATCATCATTTACTTAACCCTAGAATGCTAAGATACTTAATGCGACATCTTTGTACGGGGTCCGCCTTGGCTCCTTGTCGCTGATTCTTGTTGCTTGGTTGTTTGGGGGTTGCCTTCACTGAACGCCGCCTTTCCTTGTTGATTTTGTGTATCATATTTTATGGACTTGTTATCATTTGACAGAGCTAACTAAGACAGAAAGAGAATACTTTTCAATTGAAAATGTTAAGGTTTTCACATACAACTTACTGGAAAATGTAAACATTAGTTTTATGTATGACTTTTATGCTCAACTGTAATACAATATCTTACATATTATATTGGACATTTTACAAGACGTCTTGAAATTTATACAAATATTTTCTTATCGGTGTTTTACCTTAACCGACCGGTACTGGTGTCGTATAGAAGTTTAAAAAACTGATGATGTTTCTAAACTCCAAATTTCACCTTTGCCATGCAACTACTTGGAGCGATCTCTAAAATACAAATTATGGTATATATATTTTATTTTCAACCAATTATCCCTGATAAAGTAAAGAACTCAACAATTATATATCGTGAAAGATGAAGGGTGAATTATTTCTCCTTAGGTATCATTTTAGTGATTAGCCTTTATCCGTGTTTTACCTTGTGCCTTGTGCTGTTTTAGTTTGGATCCTCCTGGGCTCATTGCCACTGGTTCTTGTTGCTGGGTCATGCGGAGGTTGCGTTTATTGAACGTTGATCTTGTTTATCAATTTTATCAAGTAAATATAAACAATAAAATAAACAACAAAAATATTTTTAGGTTTTTAGAATTTGTGTAACAAATAGTTGTTTCACTTATCAAACAACACTTTGAACCAGCGTTAGAATATTCAGATAAACATCAACAAGGCAAAGCGTCAACCGGGCTAGAGGATAACCCTGAATAGCACAATTTAAAGCAAAGAACAAGACCAGAAAGACATGAAAGTTGGGCATGTAGAGGGTGTGTAATTAAAGCTTATTATTAAACGGGCAGTATTTGAATAATTACCAGGAAGTTTAATCTGGAAAGAAATGCACAAAACCTTAATCTTGGTCATAATATGTTCATATGTGACGACACAGTTTAAATCAAAATGAATCTTTGCTAGGCGAGATTCTAGCATTTGATATTAGAAAAGGTTTTAACACTCCATTTGATGTTGCACGGGATACACCATCGACCTAGTGTCCACAATTATTTTATAGTAAAATTTATGTCATCCTTTTTTCGTTAATTCTTTGCATATAAAGAATTGTTTAATTAAAAATAAAATAAAGGAATGAAGTAAAATTAGAGCAAAAAATCCTAAAGAAAGTCAAAAAAGGCAAATTTGAAAATGTTGCTGAGCCTGTTCATAAAGCAGTATTCAACATTTGAAAATGTGAAAAAATAATTGATTTGAAAACATACGCAGATGTGTTCACAAGTGTTTAAGTTTATATCGGCGCAGTATATTTTGAAGGACTTCTTCTTTTATGAACTAATTTAAAGGAAATGGTTAGGAAAAAGAACATCAAATTACAGCTATAATCGAACAGTGGTATAAAAATTTAATGATATAAATAAATCAACAGAAGTATTTTGTTGGCAGCCATATTTACGGTGATCTATCACATGGTCTGTTAGCTTTTATCTGTCTTTGCCATCGTTGACCGACAAAAAATTAACAAACGACAATTTTAGGGTTATTTACATTTTACTTTCATCAGAATCATTTTCTTAAAAAGACACATACCTTGTGTAAGTTCCTATAGCTATATTTTGTGTTCCTGTTATATATCATTTTAGTTCCTAACTAAAAAATAGAACCACTCCTGAAATTACATCTTCAGCAGTTTTAAGAAATATAATCTATAATTAAAAACAGAAAAATGCAATTATGAAACAAAACACAATGACCAAAAGAAATGAAGCTTCATTTAAATGTAAATATATTCTTGTAGATCTTTTTAATTTGCTGTAAATTACAAAGGTAAATGTTATAATTATTGAGATCTCATATGCAGTCTGTGGTTTTTGTGATATAACATTTTAATTACTTCTACAATTTGCAGCCGCGATTTAAAATAATTTAAAAACAGACATTGAACAAGAATTGAAAACCGGTGTTATGTGTCATATTCATTTTATTAATTAATATAGTCAAATTATAGTTGTTTTTCGCACTCATATCTATACAGAAATTCATAATGAGACTTTAAAAATATGATTTTAGCGTGATTTGAGTACATTAAATCATTTCAATATTTTAATATTTTTGTCATTTATTTGCCTGAGTATCCCTTTAATTCATGACAAAACATTTTCAATAAAACATTGAACAAGAATTGAAAGCAGGTGTAATGTGTCATATTTATTTTATTTATTAATTTATTCAAATTATAGATGTTTTAGCACGCATCTTTCTTGCTTGCACGAAACCAAAAATGTAAAAATACACTGTCATAGTTTACTTAGTATACGCTTTGCTTCATATACAAGTGCTGTTTGAATATCAGAGAAAATGAAGATGTTGTTTGTATTTGCTGCTTTAACTGTAATAGCAGGTATGTCTGTTATACACATTATTTTCATTTCAGTTCCCCGTATTGTCTATTTATTTCAGGACATGCATTTTGACAAAATGATATGTGTATTGTATTTTCTGATCTGATATTTCATATCGTTAATTTGTTAATAGATGTTAATTTAATTTGTTTACTTTTTCGCCTTCTTTTTGAATGTCTTTTGTGTTATTTCACTTAACGAGTTCTTGGAATGACGTTTGTATTAATATATGTTTGGCTTTGATTTAAAGACTCCGGGATTATGAGATATACTTGTATTTTGAATCTTTCGCTATGAGTATATACTTATCATAATTTGCAAATTTTTTATACACTCTATGCCTGTAAAATTTAATATGATTCGTGTATTTGTATTGGTTATTTTATGTTCAGTAATAGAGTATTCATGTTATTAATAAGTAATTGCTTATTGTTCAGTTAAGTTAGTTATATGTTTTAGAAGTAAGTATTAATGTTCAGTAAGTAAGTATTTCATTGCTATTTGCTATGTATTTTAAGGTAAATAAAAGATAATAGAAATTTAGTCATTTGCCCGACCAGTTATTACATTTTTATGTTAAGTCAACATATTATGTTTCTGATGGTAAGTATTTCATGTGAAGTAAGTGGGCATTTCATATTTTATAGGTAGGTATTTTATTGTCTTGTTATTACGTACGCCATGTTCAATGATATAGTATTTAGTAATACGTATTCAATTTAGTAAAAATTTGCTTGTCAGTATGATTCTGTTTTGTTCTGAATTCATCATGGTTTCACGTTCGTGATATTGCTGACATGCATTTTATGTTGGATGCCCTCGATCTAAATAAGCAAGGTAAATTATAAAACTTCTTGCTTTCCAAAACACTTGTGTGTTTTTTTTTTCTTTTTTTAATTTTTATTTGGTATTTGTAAAAGTTGTTTTTATTTCAATAGCATATATGAGTTATCTCATGCTTGATTAATTTTCCAAGATGAAAATTTAATTTAAATAAGTAACACATAAAAAAGTGGTTGTTCACAAATTCGAGGTATCTTCGAGTTTTTTTTTAATTGTTTATTATCTGCTTATTTTAGTAGCTTTTCTCTGCAATGAAATTGTTATTTCTTTCTTGTTTTTCTTTTCTGTAAATTTATCGACATTTTGTTTACGATTGAAAGTGTCTCATTATCGAAATCAGAAACCAGTCTTATTATAAAAGTTTTAGGCGTTACAAATTTCAGAATCAATTAATGATAAATAAATCAATAAATAAATGATAGATAAAAAATTAAATAAATAAGTAAATATAAAAAATAAATAAATGATAAGATAAATTAAGGAAACAAAATGAACATTTGTGAGTTGCGTGGCACTCTAAACGTTACAAAGTCGAATACAAATGTGCAAACAACTTACAAAAACAGATGTTAAATGCTGATTGATATAATGATTTAAATAATCCGAATTGTTCACACTTACGTCTTCATTTAAAACTTGACCTTAAGTTAGTAATATCCTAATATTAAAGGATATATATTAAGGATGCGTACAGAAAAAAACATAAAGGGATGTAAATGACATCAAATTACATGTATTGCATGACAGTGTGTCTAAGAAAAATCAACAACGACAATAACAGCAGCAGCAGTTGAAAACTGTTGGGTTTTGTTTTTATATTGTTTTATTATTTGTTTTATTTTTTATTTCAGTATGTCAACCAGTCCTTTGTTTCGACTCAGTAATCTTTACGAATGCTCCCTGTGTTTTCAGTATATGGGCTGAATCACCTGTTGAATCTAGTTTAGATAGACTTCAAGCTCACAGCATGACTGTAAGTATGTTTTTGTCTAGGGGAATATGTTATCAATAATGTGTTTGCTTATTGAACGCAATCACAACCATATTCTTATATTTGACATAAGAATTGGTACATTTTAAAGACGTAAAAGCAAATCCGGCCTTCCTTATTACTATGTAACCTAAACATTTACGTATATATACATGTACAATAGCAGGGGGTTGCATTTTGAGAAGAATGTGTTATATCCCCGAAGAAGGGTTAATAACTTTACGTAATAGTTATAGTACATGAAACGAGTTAGTTACGAGGGTAAAACACTGGCTGGGGCGACATCAAGGGGTGTTTCTGCTAAAAAATGGCGAGGCCTGCAAGGCCGAGACAATTTTTTTGCAGAAACATCCCGAGATTTCGCCCCAGCCAGTGTTATACCCCTGTAACTAACGAGTTTCATATACTATAACTGTTTTATCGCAATGGCATAATGTTTTTTTTTTTTTTTTTTTTTTGTTTTGTTTTTTTTTTTGTAATAGAAACAAATAAATTAATTAATCGTTAGCTACATTACAGTTATTTATCATAAGGGTCATATTTCAGTGGAAATAATTCATTCAGCGGATGTACCTTTTGATTAAATGAGAGTAAATTTCATTTCATTTATTTGTTTATATTTTTCATTGTATTTATATATTTATTATTTTATTTTATTGATTTCATTTTTTTTTTATTTTATGTTTTTGTTTTTGTTTTGCTACTGAGAATGTTCGTTACCACTGCCCCACTGGAGCCTCTATGAAAAAACTGTATTAATATATACACGGTGCGAAAAAAACTCGACCGATATATAACAGTCGAGTTTTTTTCCTATATGAATCAATGAAAAAACTGTTCTGTTATATATCAGTACAGTTTTGAAATGCTCATTGAAGTGTACTGAGTATAATGGGTTATAAGAACAAGGGAAAAGTTCCAAACCATGCGATAATTTTAAGATATTGCCAACGAAAGGAATTTTAGATATACAAGTGTGATCAGACACCTTATGTCTTTTTTCATTTCTGAGGTAATTCACAATACTAGATGATAAATAAAAAAGAATGAAAATTAATTCATGACAAACTATTTTTATTTTAATACATGAAATGCTGTATGATAACTCGTATATATTTTTTTACTGTAAAATTAATATTTATACATACCATATACTAAAAGGGGAAAGCTGTGAAGTACTCCATCGTGAGTGGTGACTCAGCATACTTCAACTTGGATCCTACAACCGGCGAAATCACTGTTGCTCAATCCTTACCAAAAGACGTAGAATCACTCGAGTTTGAAGCTCAGGCTGCAACTACAAATGCCCAAGCCAGAGCTCGCGTAACTATCTATTGTATCAAGATATAACAAGGAAATAAATGCTTGAATTGAAATGTACATGTAGTTTGATTCTTTACAATACTGTTTAAAAAGAAATAAATCCTTTCTTTTACTTTTTTCATAAAAAAGTAAATGTCTAACGATATAATAATCTCTAGATTGTTGAAGACTCTGATACGCTATATTGTTGTCAGTTTATTTCAAATTATTCGGTTCTACTCTGCCTTGCTGGGGCATTCATTGTATCAAGTTAACTGATGTCAGAAAGTACATATTTAATTTACTTTCCTCTGTTCATAGTTTTGGATAAATTTTTATCTCGATCACTAGGTATTTTAAAATAATTATGTACCTTATACAATACTTAAGCAGAAGGTATTCGTTTTTGTGTGGGTTTAAGATACATTTCACGAGACGATTTTGTGTTGACTTGTGATAACTTCTTTGCAGTGCTCGGATTGAATCAGTTTAATAGAGTACTAATGCTTCATTGCGTGACTTCCTTGCAAAATTCTACACAGCTGAGCATCTTATTATCATTCTTAGTATTGTATATATATTAAGATAACTTTTTTTCTTTTGAGGTCCCATCTGGATAACCCCGTTTATTTACCCCGTAATAGTAATAGGTATGAGGGGGTCAGGGTCATCCTCCATCATACCTTACAATGTTGATAATTATACAATATATATATTGCAAAATAATGATATTTATGTAAATATTGTCAAATACATCTACAGTATATACTTAATATAAATATAAACATATATACAATAAACCAATATATTTTCCAAAAATAGTTTACCAATAAAAAATTACTATTTATTATTAAACATTCTAACACTATCGGAATTTTTTCTATATAAACAAAGAAGGCCCGAAACGTGCATTATTCTACAACAATGCACTCGCTGTTCTTATTATCTCCCTGTGTATTTTCACATTGAGGGCGCCATTTTGATTCAAAATCTGATAAATAAATTTTTTTGTCGAATGTTGTTGTGAAAACTATCTAGAATGAAAGAAAATGGTCTAACTAAGAAAATGAATCCGAACACCAATATCTTTAATTCAGTCGTTAACGCTGTGTGGTGTTTACGTGACGTCACAATGTAGCGCCAAACAGCACGTGCAAAACAATCAAATCAAGTACGCTATTTTAATGTCGCAAACGAGTTAAGTTTTACATTTATTTCACTTTTTATAATTTGTATTTCGCTTGGAAAATTATAGACTGTAAAAAGACAAACAAACAAAGTTTTATCAACGTTTTAAAAATTCGTTATTCTCAAAATGTTTCTACACACGGTAGATTTAACGACAGTTTTTTTCAACCCACTGGAGCGGACAATTTAGTTCATACTCATTTAAATGTCAAATTCATGGTTGGTTCAGTATCTAAATGCTGTCGACCTCGTTGTACTCATTGTAATAATATTGTTGAATCGAATAATTTTTCAAGTACTACTATAACTAAAGAATTTGCTATAAAACGTGATTTTTCATGTATATCTTCAGATGTAATTTATCTTATAACTTGTAAAAAATGTAAAAAACAGTATGTTGGTCAAACTCAGCAAAAATATAGTCAAAGAATGAATAGTCACAAATTTGATATTAAACACTTTCCTGACACTATTACAAATGTATCTGAACATTTTAATTCTGAAGGACATTCTATCAAAGATTTTTCATTCATGCCAATTGATAAAGTAAAGAATAATTGGCAAATATTATAAAAAGAAACTTCATGGATGTATAAACTTGGTACAATTATTCCTGATGACATGAATTCCAATGACTTAAAACTAATTGCATGTCAATATGTAGTTTATGCTGGTTTTCTAATATAACATTGCTTTTTACTGCATCTTCACCAGTGTTTTGTATCTTTTATTAAGATCCTACATATAACATTTATACGCCAAATTATGTATTACATTTTGACGTCCTTTACGTCATATGACGTTGACGTCATTTCCTGTAAACAAAGTATATCTGATGAAGCCTTTTGAGTCGAAATGTTGTATATTTTTCAAATAAAATAATTACATTTTAAATTAGAGTTGATTTCTATATTCAAACTTACATGATCTAAGATACTATTTTGAAAAAAAACTTACAATGATAATATGCATAAAATCTTACACACCTCTGTATAAAAAGATTTTAAATAAACATAAGATTGAAAAAAATCTGAACAACGATAGCGTATAAATACCACAATGATTTATAAGTAAATTAAAATATTTATACCTAATCTTATTTACATCTTTCCTGTACAAAAATGTAGTTCTCTAAACTAAAGCCACACGTTTCGACATTTGCGTACATAAGACGCAATTATGACATAATGTTACCGTTTATTCGATATAATAATAGACAGAGTGATTAAACAGGCCTATTAAGAACATTTTATCGCTAACATTTTCAGGGTAATTACAAGCTGTGGTGTTTATTGATGTAGGGAATGGTCTTTCCCAGTGCAACAATGTGTTTAGAGAAGAAGCTGAAATATTCACAGTAAATAAACTAGCACATACTCATTAAGTTATCAAAGTATCACAGCATTGATATTATGCAATATCATCCGAGAGTGTATGCTCTATGATAATAAAATATATGTCAGCTATGGATTGAAATAAACGCTTCATGAACAGGATTTTTACACCGACCCTCTACAAAATACCACCGTTTTCACAAAAGCAGGTGTCAAGTGCTGTGTGGCAGCAGTAAAATGGTGCCCTGTACTTTGCTGTTGTTATATTTTTTTGGCCCTTCGAGATCATTGAGTCCAACATTTGTAAGTATACTGCTCAAGCTGGTACTAGGAAATAACAAGTTAAATATTAACTACGGCCAAAGGTAGAACCAATTCATTTTTTTATCATAATCAAAGAACGTTCTAAATTGCCAGGAGTAATTCCTTGCTTTTTAATCTTTTTATTTGTTTTATACACAGTGACTGCTTCATCATTATTGATATATTCATTCAGTAGAATTTTCTTTTGATGATTAATATGAACAAAAAGACTCGTGACTGTCTGATAAGTCAGTATTTCACAATCACCATTGAATTTCGTGATTAATTGTCCATGAATCTTCTGGTCCCCTGCCAAACTAATCACATTTCAACACCCCTATCATTATTTACTATGTGTCAGTTGATTAAGATCTCCGGAACATTTTTTTTCTGTGTCTACTTAATCCTGGTCTACCACTGATCAATATGATATCCTCGTTATATTTGCATAATTGAAAGCTCGCTGTCTGGCAAATTTCTCCGATGAAACGTTAATTAGCTTTTTGTCAGCTTAGATTGGTGATTTATAGTCTCCTGCAGGCAAATGTTTATAACACAAATCAAATGTCTTACTAAAATAATAGTATTATTTTTATAATGGTTTGTTATCTTACTACTTGGTTAAAACTACATTGTATTTTAGAGAAATCAATTGATCGGTTTCCATGTATGTTCGTTATATATTTCAAGGTGCAGATTGAACAACTGGTGCAATATTTTTTTAAGTGACAAGGCCATGGGTGACAAAATAACATGTTGAGATCACGACTGAAAATAAAATTTGATCTCCCGTAAATGAAATAAATAAATTCAGATCTTTAATTACTAAAACATAAGGTTTGATCATACGTTTCGATATTTTTTTTAACAACAATTTTATCTAGATGCTATTTATTGTACAAGCTTTGGAAATGATTAAATGTTTTATATGCACCTGAGCATATTTAATTACTCCAACAGGCAATACAATGTGATTTATTTAGAGTAATCTATATTGATTACAATGTTACAAAACTATCATTCAATCAAAGGATCGACATGCATTATCGATTTTCTATAATTATATTGACAGTTTAATCAAAACAGATCATTTTGCGCTTCCTTTTGACAGTAGATTCATCATATCATTTCCAAGGTTGAATATGCAATCAAAGTAAACGAAACGCATTGATTTTCAAATTGAATGTATTTTGAGGCACTCCTTTATCGAAATGTCAATTTAGCTGGTTTGCTTTTTGGAAAATTCCCCGGCACAGTTTGTTCGGTAGCTTTCAATTACCATTACCGTCCATGAACAGGCTAAATCAAACTGAGCCAATTTTGCCGTGTTGGGGCATGCATACGTTGGATGCCGCCATCTCTTGTTGATCTCGTTTTTCATATTGTTTTTGGGCTTTCTTTAAGGATTTGTTTTTCATCTATTTAATAAATAAACAATTAATAAAACGCAAGAATTGGGCAACATTCGCAGGTGTATTCATAAAGTTGTGATCATTGAACCATCAATGCGAAATGTGCCATAAAAAGTTTTTTTTTTGTCCCCAAGTAAAGAAATGTTATTGCCCTTAACGAGGAAATAAACAGAACAGTAAGGTCATTTTGAAACTTTTTATCCTTTTCATTTTTCTTTATTTCAACACACTTTTTGTATTTTTTTAAAGTGCGTTCTAGTTTTTTTAGTGATGTTTTATTATAAATTATTAATGAAAAAATAAACCATACACGTATAAAACAAAATTAAGTGACAAAACTTGTACGACTTTCAGATCACGAACCTCTTCATGTACTAAAACCGGTCAATTGCGCCCAATGCCTTAGCAAATAATTGCACTACAACAGGGAGCTCGCGAAGAATGATGACAAAAAGGCTCTTCTGGAAAAATAATGATAAAAACAAAATGGCATATAAAGATAAAATTTAGATTTTCTAAATATCTACCTTTTTGACGATGCAAAATGATAGTCGTATACATGTTAAGTACGGAAGTCGTTTGCTTGCCCTCACTGTAGGATTTTGTTTGGAATATTGTTCCATTAACATCATCGTCAGTTACTTTGGTTTCAATTTTAAGCAATAGGTCATGAAACTCTTCGCTTAAATCAATTAATACGATTGTGTCAAATTTGATTCATTTAATGGCGACGGACATTTTATATTTGATTAAGAAAGTGTCTTTGAAAATAAAAACACTTAACCTTTATAAATTATCGCTGTTATGACAATGAATAAGATATAGTTATACAACACTCTTT